TAGACATATCTCTGTTCTCTTCTACCGCCCGAAGACGGCCGAAGCGTCGAGCGCACACGTACACGGCTGCTTGCCTGTGTGCGTATCCCCTCCACTTGCTGTAGCGTGCTGTAAGAGAGTCAAAACTGGGCACACTGAACACAAGACCGACGTAAATACTAATCTAATGTGAAAATTAATTTTACTTTACAACATATATACCTATAACATATTCTTTTCACGTGTAATGTATTACTTTTTGTGTATTACTTTTTTCAAGTTGGTGTATAAAGTACTCGATTAAGTATTTTAAATATTTTAAATATTTTTATATTGTTTATTTTTTAAGTATTAATTATCTTAAATATTCGTTATTTTTACCCGATATTTACACAATATTTTTATATATAGATTTTTTCTTTTGTAGCTTTCTTTTTAAAAAATAAAATTTTTACAAGATTATTTCGCATATACATCTCCATCGTTAGTTTCGCTGCACTACGTTGCCGGTTATTAAATTTTCTATAGATTAATGTATCGTTAAATGCATTTACCGATATTGGAAGCTGGCACGAGGTTAAAAATGGTGCTCCATAATATACCCCTTCTTGCGCGTACATACATATACATATATCGCGCACAGTAAAACGGGACGTATAAATACGAATAGAAATTATTTTACGAGATTAATGGGCACATAACGTCAACAATTCAATCAAATCATTTCGATTTAATCGCAAGCTTTATTTTATTGACGATTTAACACGTTTTAATCGAGAGTTATTACTTTGTATCGCGCGCGATCGTCGGCGAGTTTCAGTCTCATTATTTTGTTGCGAGATGCGCGTGATATCGAACTTTTTCAAGCAAAATTGATTACCGCGGCAATCCATCCTTGTCCGGCAAATGAACGGCGGCGTTACAGATTGCACGCGTGCTCCCTTCGATCATTTGCTCTCGTCTCGGATAAACGATCGGTCCGATTTTTAAACTTTTGAGCAAATTCCAATTCACATTAATTGCTCCGCGTGATTTCGCTTGAATAACGTTTGCCCGCGACAATGCACATCGTCAGAGAAGCAGAGAGAATTAATTTGAAAATTTTTTTTTTTCTCGACCGCGGCACAGTTTGACGGTCTCTGACAAACGGCTAACCGCGCCGAACGAACCGTAGCTGTTGAGTTTACCGTGCAGGCGCAGATCTAATTGTGATTGGTCCGGCAGTGGTCGCACTGACAATTACACAGCGACATTTCTGTTGACGCGATAATGGTTATCATTAAATTCTCTCTAATTGTCCGCAGGCGCGAACGGCGGCAAGAAAAGAGATCGGAATTAATTGGGTCGCCGTGTGTCAATTGAATTAGCACGTTAAAATCTCACTACACACGTGTTATTAACGAAAACTGATCTTTTTCGAATATTATATTATTGCGTTGTTTGAATAATATCGTTCACACATTCTTAATGCTTCTAGATTATCGTTCGTCTTTTAATTTGCATATATATTTCATCGCTTTTACTATATTGTTCGAAATTATTTTTCAAAGACTGAGTTATACTACTTAATTATCTCGTTCATATATTTCATATAATTTCGCTAGACGGTTAATAATGCCGCCGATGCTGTACTGAAGGATATCGATAATAGATACTGATCTTGTGGAAACCCTTTGTAATCCTTGCAATCCGTCCTCAACGTTTCGCCATTATTGCACTTCGCCGTGCGTAATCGGCCTGATTCTCCTCAGGTCATCGTAAAGGTTGAATGAGGGACGGAGCGCAAGAATGGATAATCCTCTCTCTCTCTCTACGACTGGGATGCAATTTTGCGATATTAATGTTGCAAGAACCGTCAACCGTGAACTGAAAACTCCAGGTTTGCTTATTTTTCAGAGTCCGTTCATGTATATATACACTCAGATAATGCTGAGAGACAAAATTTGCTCGTAAAAATATGTATGTTCCACTTGATACAAAACGAAAATTTCCCTCACCCAGACTATGTATTTCTCAAGATTATAAGTATCACACGTTTTTTCTATCTGACATTTATTCAATATCCGTGAAGTCATAATTATTTGAATTGATTGTGAATTTTCATAATTATATATAAATATCAATTTATTTTCTCTTGTATTCAAATTATTATTCCGTGCAATTATAGACCTAATTCAAAAGCTGGAAGATACGATTTTACAAATGAAGATACGATCTTACACAAAAAAACTTTTACATAAATACATCAGAATGATACAAGAATGTTTAATATATATATATTGTGTGTGTAAAACACGTTTTTTTTTTTTTTTATAATAGAAAATTGAAATATTTATAGAGATTCTGTGTGGATAGCGATATCTGAATTTGCGAGAGTTCGCATTTATACGTATCACGAAATGCAACGTGGCCACTCGCATTACGATAGGAATAAATATATATATCGCGTATAGTTCTGCGTGCATACGATACCGTTGCACAACACAAACTAAATTTCCTTCGTGTGTATGCGCGGTTGCATGTAATGCATATCCGGCGCACTGCATCATGCGACTCTCACACACACACGTGCGGGCGGCTCTTCGACGAGCGTGTGTATCCATATATTAAACGTACATATTTGCGCGGGGGTATAGGGGTGTACTTACTATTCCGGGACCGTTGAATCGACAGGGCAGCAATGCGTTTCCGCCGGTTTGTGCTAGAACATCCTTGACGAATTTAGGCCGAGAAGGGTCAACGTCGTTCTCCTTCGTCGTTTCGTTCCGGACGATTGCGCCGTCTGTAAAGATTTGAGAACATGTTCGTCTTTTTTTTAGAAAAAGAGCAATGTATGGAAATTCAAATTTTACATTTTTATAATAGATCACTTCAAATATTTATACACACTTGAACAATTTCATTGAAACAGCGATAATACATATTTATTTTTAAATAATAAATTTTTAAATAATTTATAAATTAAGCAAGCAAGGAGTTGTATTTTCAATCACATTATGTAAAACAAATTTTAAAAATAAAAAAATGTTCTTGTTTTATTTATTATATTTATCATTAAAAATATCTGACAAGTCAGTTACAGACTGATTGAAAATCTATCAGGTTGCACATTTGTGAACAAAATTATGATAAATTCTTGATTACGTAAATGGAGTAAAAAACAGATTTTTAAAGCAGAAGAATCAAGAACGTACATTAAAGCGTCTTAATTACTTTAAGAACTTCAGAATTAAAGATTATTTGATAAGAAAGTATTAAATTAAATTACGAAATTTGTGGTACATACTCATATACTCAACAAAGAATAATTAAAATATTTTTTAAGAATATTTACATGACTCTACATTATAAGAACTATATAAAAAAGAAACTTTAATATATATATATGTGTAATTACAAAATTAATTAACAGAGCTTTTATGTAAGTGATACGCTTGGCAAATAAACTCGCTGAATACATTTATACATAAAAAAAATGTACATTTTTAACATTTTGTCTTAATTGATTAAATTATTATGTCCAATAAAATGTAATTGCAATTATATAATTAGCATTATGTAGTTTAATCGATCTCTCATCAGTCTGTAAATGACTCGTCAGGTACTTTTAACCACATAAATAGATTTAACCATAAATAGATGAAGAAAATTTCATTTGAAATTATTTTATATAAGTTGAGTGAAAATGCTTATCCTTGATTAGGTGAAGCTTTATAATTTACGATATTTATAAAATAACTACTTTAATATGTATTTATAAATAATTTATATAATTATTAAAACTTCGTATATAAGTAGAAAATTAATATGTTATAATTTTTTTAAGCTTATAAGTTTTAATATTATAAGTTTTTTCTGGATTTAAAATTATAATTTTTATCATAAAAATTATAAACGTTTCATCATATATTTAATCGAAACAAATGAATAGTAACACCTCAGTTTTAAACACGCTCGTGTTTGATACATAATATATGTATGTGTGCACAAAATCTTTGGACATAATCTGACAGATCAGAGCTTAACAAGTCAAAAGCTTTTTTGCGTATTTCGCAATTATAAATTCAAATTACACTACGTGTATAATGGAAAACAATTTCAACAAGAACTTGCTTTCAATTAGGTACAATTTTTTTGTTTCTTTTTTCAAATAAATGTAATTATCGCGACATTTAATGTTGAAATATTATCAACAAGATATATAAAGTTCAGCTTGTCGAGTAAACTCACTTTGCTTCGCGTCAGCGACACGATATTGAGTATATGTATATCGCGCGTTTAATTATTGCAAGAAGTCACCTGAGCACGTGTCTGGACTAAACCCCCGGTTCCCCGGCTTTCTCCCTTTGACATCTAACATCTACATTCAACATAGACAGAGGATATTGGAGATTACGTTACTGTACTTGTGTGTGTGATTAGTTCAGATTAGAACCGACCGAATATCGGTAATGGCTGCGACGCGTAACATCCGCATTCGTGCATATTGCAAGCGCGCATGCATAAATAAAGAGACGAGAGGAAATTGCACTGCTCTCAGCAATCTCAGCATTGTAAACTGAAACAGCATGCTAAAACGGCTGACGAACGGTTATCTAACGGCATAGACGCGATATCGCCTGCGTTAACGATCGTATATTTATAACAAAGCGTACTGCAATATATCTCCCACGCGGTCATTACCGAACGTAATATCACAGTTTTACGAACATAAAGTATTTATTTATGAAATGTCCGAGGTCAGTAGCAAAAACATTCCGAGATTTCGATATTATATATTGTGACGTAAAAAATACAGAAAATATTTATTAAAAAAAAATTCATGGCATCTACTTAAAACAGTTTCGAAAATATATTTATGCAAGTAAAGTATATAAAAAAGAACTAAATTCCCAATAATCTGATAATAAATCAAATACTTTGTAAGACTCTCGTTCGCGTGTTCGAAAAACGGGTGGTTAACCGCGCACTAACATCATGTTCTCCTTCGAAAATCTATCGCTCACTGATCGCTCCTCTCTGTCGATATTTTATCTTGTCCGACGAAAGCGCGATCGTCGTATAACTTTCTCGTTTACTCGCGACTTGACTTCAATACAGAAAGTGCGAACGGTCGAACGAGCACGGGAATGAATTGGAGGAGGTTCGCGTAAAGGGCAGGTAGGCGTGTCGCAAGTTTGTTCCGGGGATATTATCAAAGTTCAACTTGCTTCGGAAACAGCCGAAACTTTTCCGCCGGCGACTGATTCGTTTCCATCTTCCGACGCGAATGCTTTTCCGCGATTGGCGTCTGGTAACACGGAAACTCGGTCAATCCGGTTCCGATTTACGCGCAAGTCGCTTTTCCGAAGGGGACAACAATGCCGTTTTGCAGCGTGTCTGTCCATGTGTCGTCGTCGTCGTCGGTGGCGGCGGCGGCGGTCCCGTGGGTGGGACTTCGTTGCCGTGTTACCTTGACTTGAACCAGTTCCGAACCAGTTACCGGCGTTGTAACGTATGTGTAACGACTTCGCGAGCCACGTCGTAAACCGAAACGCGTTGGTCCGAGAGAATATTATACGGTGTCGACGGTGGCTTTGCCGGTGACGGGTCGGCGCGCGAATGGCGCTCGGCGGGATCGGGAAAATTCGTGTCGAGTGTCGTACGCTAGATGGAATTTTTATGACCGAATGTGTTAAAAATATTATCGTCCCGTGAGCCGGGCAGTTTTTTTTTCATGAGAAGCGCTGACTCATTCGAAATGTATTGGACAATACACCTACGGCTGCGTGGCTCTATGCTGTTACGTACCGTGCGCAGCAATAAAACATTTAAAAATGATTATTTTATCGATTGCGGTGTATATACATATATATACACCGCAATACATACAACACCGTGAGAAAAGTAGCTCGAGTGAATTCTTTATGATGCGTTTCTTGCATCGGTGAATTTAAAAGAAATATGACGGTACTCCTGAAATATCCGATACACTTTATAAAATTTTGAAGTGAGAAAATCTGCGCCTTAAAGGTAATATTCCACAATATTCTCTTTTCTTTCTATAATTTTTTTCTGAAAGAAAAGTGTTTTTTTTTTTTTTAATGTGAAAGGTAAAAACTAAATAAATTCGTTGTAAAACGAATCTTGTGTTGTGAGGAATTTTCGAAGTGTACAGAAGTAGGTACGGTGTGTGTGCTGGAAACTATCGAGGTAAGTTACGTCTCTTGTTCGGAAAATATAACACGCTTTTATACGTGTTACATAGCCGTTGCGTTTATGCATATGCAAGAATGATAATTTGACAACTCGCAGTATATCCTCTTTATGACGAAACTAACCTTCTAGTACATGAATATGTGGCGAAACTTTGTCTGTCGACCATTCATGTAACAAGTTCGGAGCGCGTTGTAAATTGAAATGTATCATGCGCAAATATGCGCACTGTATATAGCGAGATAATATAACGTTGAAACATAGATCAAAAGAGATTGTAATAGACACAAAGATGTTAACTGTGTAAAACATTATCTAGTAATTAATTAACTTGTTGTAATGATTATTAATATAATACGTCGGAGAAAATGTGTTTTTTTACTTTAAAATAAAAATAATTAAACATACGTTTAATTTAGACAACGGTGTATTTAGAAAATATTATATAATAAAAAATTTGTATAAATTTATGATTGCTGGTTAATTTCTTCTTACGCGCGGTTATATTTTCATTCGCGACTTTTGTCGCTCGCGCATTTGGGGATTGCTGTCACATTATCTTCGTCATATCTTTAGTTTCGAAGTTTCGAAATACATGTATTTTATATGTTCAGACGTGTATCAAGTTGACGAGGTCACGCTGTGATACAGAACGACAGATTATTACACGAAATCTGATGTCACAGATGTTGCTTCTGGTTGCTTGTCAACAGGTCTGCGTCGTCCGACTCTCTGTATGTGGTCAACATCGCTAGTGAAACGCGTGAACGAACACGAAAAGCGATGGATATTTCGGTTATCGGACACATTCGATGTGTATTTGATTTTTCATCATTCAATATCGTCCAATTATGATACAAATAACAAAAAAAAAAACCAAAAAAAAAAAAAAAACAAAAAAAAACAAGTTATCACGCTGTAGCTGTATAAAATTATACCGCGCGTTTCTTTATTTTTGCTATGTAATTAAACTAAATATGTAGAAGTCTCAGAATGTGACGGCAGTGAGCAAAGGGATGATATTACGGAAGCTGGAGAATGGCGGCACACAACCTCCCTCGCGACTTGCACATGCACGACGAATCTTAAATTCCGAGCCCGCCGCAATAGTCCCTCCACCTTCCGTATCTCCGCATAGTCGAGTGAATAACTAGCGTAATTGCCGACGACCCAGTTGCAACCAACGCCGGGGGTTGCATTTCGAATACGACGGCTCGGAGGGGTATATAGAGAAAGAGGGAGAGAAAGAGAGAGAGAGAGAGAGAGAAAGGGGGGGAAAATGACTATACACATGCATGAGAGTCGAAGGAGAACTGGAAGGGCTCGGTTGCGCATCAAGATCCGACCCGCGATTTCGTATCGGAGGATTAATCATCCGCCCTCACTTTAATTACGATCCCGCTGTTTTAGCGAGGTTTCGTTCTGGAAATGCGACGCGGTTCTTTGCTACGACATTTCTGATACACTCAGTACCTCGCGATCATTCTCTATGTAAAATTTAATCTCGTCTCTCTTGTGTGATAGTTTACTGCGTACTACTTTTTTAATAGTATCTTTTACTACGTTATTTCCGTGTAAGCTTCAAAG